GACTGCTTTTATTTTCTGCTATGCGCTTTAGTCTCTGTAGCGTTGTGGTTTTCTTGTTGGATTAAGAAAAAAATTGCTTCTCTCACATACGATACTTGAGTTGTAGGAACTTCACCTTTTATACGGCGCAAAGAAAGCATGCGGAGAAAAACTTGTATGAACCATGTACGATGTGTAAATGTACAGAAGCCCATAAAAGAACTAAAGGCATGTTTGCAAATCTTTGTTGTGGATAATATACTATTTTTTTTGGTTGGATTTGTGTTAAGTTAATTGGTTACAAAGATACTTAAAAACAGTTTTTTTTTTATATTTTTATTTTGTGTTTTACCTCTTTTTATTGAAATTTACTGTATTTGAGCATTGTGTTTACGTTGTTTCTTCAGTGTCATGTTTAGACTTGATCACGGTGAATGTATTTCTGTTTCTCTTCTTTGATTACACAATTCTTTTTGGTTTCTTTTTTTCCTTAACCATTTTCACATATTCTGATTAACTAAAATAAGCTACAATCACTTCTTCGTATTTGAAAGCTTTGAAAGTAGTTACCAACCGCAACACATCCAGACACAAGTACTTCTTGGCATTCACTACAAGTAATCAGTAACCTCTTTTCTTCTGACGAGAAGACAGTAAGGAAGGAAGGAAAGAAGGACTGAGGAACAGAGAGAGGAAAGAATACCAACTATGAAATACAACATGACCCGCCCTCTGTTTGTTTTATTGTTCCTTTTTTTGCTGGGCTGCATCAGTGGGTATGCACAAGGGAGTCGTTTCAAAGAAAGTACAACCAGGACGATTGGAAATGACAAGGAACTGTTTCAAGCAAAGAACTCCGCTAATGAAGTGAAAGTGAAAGTAGATGTGGGACATGAAAAACTATCACCACTATCATCTTTTACTGGCTCTAAAGTAACCTCACCCCGCAGTTTTCAAGGTTCTTATCTTTGGTTGGGGAATGGGAAACTGGTGGCAATTGACACTGCTGCTACTGCCATGTACCAGAAATCTGCAAACAAGAGTGAATTCATCGATTTTTTGACACAAGAGAGCAGTGACAATGGAAAAAAATGGGGGGAAACCCATAAAAAGAGGTTCGGTATTTATTCATTCCCATACGCGCAAGAGCTAGAGAAACATAAAATGTATGATAACCATCGGAGTGTGTTTGTTCTTGTGGAAAGCAACAACCTTCAAAGCCAATATCGTTCCCAATCACAGGGTACGGAAATCAATACTAAAAATTCTACTCTTCGCACTGTGCGCATGTATACTGGTAATGATAAAAACGGAAAGTATTCATTGAGTTACTTTGCTTCCAATATTGCATTTCCTTTTACGAAAGGAAAGGAAATGGTTGTGCGATTCCTTGCTGACGAGATTACACCAATTTTGAGAATGACAAATTATGGTTTTGTGTTTCCTGTCCAATTTATTACAGCGAAGGACAAAATCATTTCGACAGTTATGGTTGACAATTTCGAAGATGATAATTGGAACGTTGGTAGTTTAACTGAAGAAGGTACTTATAATCCTGCTGTTCTCGAGTGGAAAAATGGTAATTTGATGAAGATTGCTCATCATACCAGCGGCCATTACAGAGTGTACGAGTCCACCGATTTGGGAAAGACATGGACAGAGTCTACCAGTACACTCTCCCGTGTGTGGTCCACCTCCACTGTAGCTACTAACATACCAATTACTGAGCGTGGAAGTCAAAACAATTTTATTACTGCAACTATTGATGGGAAGCGTGTCATTCTTTTTCTGCAGTCCGTGGGATCTGAACATAGGAAGAAACTCTATCTGTGGGTGACTGATAACACACGTATTTATCACGTTGGCATGATAGTTGAGAATAAAAAAGTGAAGAGAAGCACTTTATTGTTCAAGGATAACAAACTCTACTGTCTGTATGAGACTGTTGAAGGGACAGGTAAGCACAAAGTCTTCTTTCTGGATCTTACAACTTCAATGGAGGAGATTAAGAGGGTGTTAAACAAGTGGACTGAACTAGACCAGACTCTCTCTGAGAGTCGTTGCTGCGCTGATAACAGTGGTATTTCATCTCGTCAGTGTAAGTATCCTGTTCCCACTATTGGGTTGGTGGGCTATTTGTCTGGAAATATCGATGAAGGGAAATGGAATGATGAATATCTCGGCGTGAGTGCTTCTGTAAGTGGTACCCCAGAGAAGAATCCCAACGGACTAACGTTAAAGGGAATTGGTGCAGGGGCAAAGTGGCCTGTGAACACAGATGGACTGGCGAAGCAGTATTACTTTACAAACTACGCCTTTACTCTTGCGGCGACTGTGACTATCCATGAGGTACCAAAGAAGGAAAGCAGTCCTTTCTTGGGTGTAAGACTGAATAAATCGAAAAAAAGAATTCTTTTTGGTTTGTCGTTCAATAAAGACAATACGTGGAGCACAATAAACAGGGACGAAGCAAGTGGTCCAACAGGCAAATGGGAAGTGAACAAGGCATATTCAGTGATATTGACATTAAAAGACGGTAAGGCTATTGTGTATATCAACGGTATTCGTTTAAGTGCACCATATTACGCCGAAATGGAAGGGGAAGAAGAGGTATCACACTTCTACTTTGGTTCAGAGAATTGGGGTGGAGACAATATTCACGTAACAATAAAAAATGTTATGCTGTACAACCGCGTACTACTTCGCAGGGAAATTAATGCACTGGTCAAGAACAATATGAGTATTGTTGTTGCAGATGGCGAAAAGGAAATTTCAGAGCAGGCAAGCATGACAGATTCTTCCCAGAGCCCTGTTATCCACAGTCCTTCAAGACCTCAGTCAACCAGTTCCAGAGAGTATAGGTTCAATGAAAGACAAGGGAATTCGCAGACGGCTGACTCACTTCGGAGACAGGGAGGCCGAAGAAGATCTCCTGAGACACTGGAAACTGAAGATGCATCTGAAAATAATATGCAGGAAGACCCTTCTAAGACAATTCTGCCCAACATCCATGATAATAATACCCATCCCCAAAACACTATTGATGGCACTGTTCGTGTGTATGGATATGGATTGCCAATACTTCTGCTGGGGTTGTGGGCTCTTGCAACATCCCTCCTATAAATGTATGTGCAACGACGTGAATATGATTTCCGATTGGGCTTGGTTGCATCAGTAAATAAAAATTGTTGTCCTTAGTGTGGACCCTTTTCTTTTTAATTGTTTTTTTTTTTTTTTCTTGCGGCTGTTCCTTGGGTTCAGCATCATTGAATTATTTTTTTTTTCTGTTTTTGGAAAACTAACTGTTTGCTACAATCTCTGAAGTCCAGGAATTAATTCCTAACGTCCCTTTGTTTGCCCTCACACGATGCTTGATTTCTCGACCTCACCTTTTGCAGAGTGCAGATGGAGCAAGAGGGGTAAGTGGGCACATTGAGGACCGCACTGGGTGAAAATGATGTATGACTAGGTAAGGATTCGATGAGATGATGTTAAATATACATTTTTTTTTCTTGTGTGGTGGAAAAAGATTTTTTTTTTTTTTTGAAATCAATCTGTCTACATATGCTTGTTTTAATTATACTTCTCTATATACGTTTGTGTGTTTGTTTTAATTATGTTTCTCTATATACGTTTGTGTGTTTGTTTTAATTATGTTTCTCTATATACCTTTGTGTGTTTGTTTTAATTATGTTTGTCTTATATATGTGGGCTTTTCACTGTGAGATTGTTTTTTATTGGGGTAATATCATCATTATGGATGTTTTTTTTCTTTTCCCTAGGGAGAATGTTGTTCATGAATGTACCGTTGTTATGATGTGCTAATAATCTGTTTTCGTTACTTGGTGTATTTGTTGGCATGGGTTTTTTTCTTCCTTTTTTTATTCTTTCCACCATTATGTACACTGATTCAAAATAGTTGAATAGACACTGTACATGAACATTTATATAGTTTAAGGGGTTTATTTTGATTGCTGTGTTCTCTGCGGGAACGGGCTCATTCTGGAGAGGTCTACAGTGTGTTGTGTGTAACACGGTATACATTTGGTGAACACTGAGCACTGGTTGGGGAATGGGAGAGTGGAGTACAGAGTCCCATATGTTTCTCTACTTGAACTGCCCCGATTATACCCTATCATCATGGTGTGCCAGCATTCCCTGTGTTACTTCTTGACGGTGTTATTTGACTAGTTGGTGTATCCTTTTCTTGCGGTTGATTTGGAATACTGTGCGTAGCAGACTCTTTCTCTGGCTCCCATTGCCACTTTGAGAAGATNCAGAGAATTGGGGTGGAGACAATATTCACGTAACAATAAAAAATGTTATGCTGTACAACCGCGTACTACTTCGCAGGGAAATTAATGCACTGGTCAAGAACAATATGAGTATTGTTGTTGCAGATGGCGAAAAGGAAATTTCAGAGCAGGCAAGCATGACAGATTCTTCCCAGAGCCCTGTTATCCACAGTCCTTCAAGACCTCAGTCAACCAGTTCCAGAGAGTATAGGTTCAATGAAAGACAAGGGAATTCGCAGACGGCTGACTCACTTCGGAGACAGGGAGGCCGAAGAAGATCTCCTGAGACACTGGAAACTGAAGATGCATCTGAAAATAATATGCAGGAAGACCCTTCTAAGACAATTCTGCCCAACATCCATGATAATAATACCCATCCCCAAAACACTATTGATGGCACTGTTCGTGTGTATGGATATGGATTGCCAATACTTCTGCTGGGGTTGTGGGCTCTTGCAACATCCCTCCTATAAATGTATGTGCAACGACGTGAATATGATTTCCGATTGGGCTTGGTTGCATCAGTAAATAAAAATTGTTGTCCTTAGTGTGGACCCTTTTCTTTTTAATTGTTTTTTTTTTTTTTTCTTGCGGCTGTTCCTTGGGTTCAGCATCATTGAATTATTTTTTTTTTCTGTTTTTGGAAAACTAACTGTTTGCTACAATCTCTGAAGTCCAGGAATTAATTCCTAACGTCCCTTTGTTTGCCCTCACACGATGCTTGATTTCTCGACCTCACCTTTTGCAGAGTGCAGATGGAGCAAGAGGGGTAAGTGGGCACATTGAGGACCGCACTGGGTGAAAATGATGTATGACTAGGTAAGGATTCGATGAGATGATGTTAAATATACATTTTTTTTTCTTGTGTGGTGGAAAAAGATTTTTTTTTTTTTTTGAAATCAATCTGTCTACATATGCTTGTTTTAATTATACTTCTCTATATACGTTTGTGTGTTTGTTTTAATTATGTTTCTCTATATACGTTTGTGTGTTTGTTTTAATTATGTTTCTCTATATACCTTTGTGTGTTTGTTTTAATTATGTTTGTCTTATATATGTGGGCTTTTCACTGTGAGATTGTTTTTTATTGGGGTAATATCATCATTATGGATGTTTTTTTTCTTTTCCCTAGGGAGAATGTTGTTCATGAATGTACCGTTGTTATGATGTGCTAATAATCTGTTTTCGTTACTTGGTGTATTTGTTGGCATGGGTTTTTTTCTTCCTTTTTTTATTCTTTCCACCATTATGTACACTGATTCAAAATAGTTGAATAGACACTGTACATGAACATTTATATAGTTTAAGGGGTTTATTTTGATTGCTGTGTTCTCTGCGGGAACGGGCTCATTCTGGAGAGGTCTACAGTGTGTTGTGTGTAACACGGTATACATTTGGTGAACACTGAGCACTGGTTGGGGAATGGGGCAGTGGAGTACAGAGTCCCATATGTTTCTCTACTTGAACTGCCCCGATTATACCCTATCATCATGGTGTGCCAGCATTCCCTGTGTTTGTTCTTGACGGTGTTATTTGACTAGTTGGTGTATCCTTTTCTTGCGGTTGATTTGGAATACTGTGCGTAGCAGACTCTTTCTCTGGCTCCCATTGCCACTTTGAGAAGATAACTGTTTAGAAATGAATCTCGCTCCCATTGCTACGAGAATTTTACGAGATGGATTATAACAGGTACATTATTCATCGCCCAAAGGGGTACCTAACCAAAAGAAGTTGTGTACGCAGCATTTCATTCACAGAATCTTGATCCAGTATGTTGTTGTGCGCAAGTAGAAAATCTCACGGGATATCCCTGATAATGGGAGATGCCAGAGGGTAAATGCTGCAATCTCTGAAGGTTTAAAAAGGGAAAAAAGAAAAGAAACGGACATGCACTTAGCAATTTCCCAACGGCAAACGAACTTCCCAACGACACGCGTGATGAGTTACATTATTTCTCTTTTAAACCCTAACCCCCTCGCCCTTCTTCCCCATTTCGCCTCGCGCACCCTACCCGCCACCCAACACGACACGGGAGGCGATATCCTTTCGTTCTGCCCACAAACGGCTTGCGAGCATGCGCAAAAATATAAAACAGCAGTGCACCTCACAGTTCGAAACGGATAACACGAACCTTCAGGGTCAGGATTAGGGCCAGTCGTGCTTGCAGCGTTTGAAGAGCACAAGCGTGTCGTATAAACAAATTTCTCGAAGAGAGAGACTGGATGTACGGTATAAGAGTAAACGGAAACACGCAGGGAGTGAAGGAAAGTTGTGTAAATAATAATTCGATTCCTTGTATCGCTTGAATGCTGTGAAACCCTTTCTTGTTTTCTTCTCTTTTTTGAACTATTCTCATTCATGAATTACATAGCTTGGACACCTCCAGCTCCTCCCAAAGGGTTTTAGACGTGTTCATAACTCGAAAAAGAGTTTTGAAAAGCCCATCCATCCGCAACCAAAACGATTTTCTAATTTTCAAAACGTTATATTTCCTTTTACAAGGCAGTTTTTAATTTTCAAAGTTGAATAAATAAGTCGGTTTTTATTCTTACAATTTTGCTTGTTTGCTCAAATCCGGGACTCTGCAAGCTATAAACCATCCCGCAGGTTACGATAGTTTAATAACAGTGAAGATCCCGATAAGAGGGTTTTTTCTTTTATTTGCTTCTAAGCAGCCTCATTTTTTGCTCTGTTTTCACGGAGGGTGTTTTCCTTTTTTTTATTTTTTTTTTTGAGAGCCAAGAACGCTTCAGCGAGGATTGCGGGATCTTCGTGACAGCGAGGTTCTTCGCCACATTCCTGAGAGTTCAAATACGAAACCCCAAAACCCTGCCAAAGCGGTTACGCCCCTACCTACAAGAGGTGACCGAGAACACCAAGAAACCGCTGAAGGATCAGTTTCTCTCGGCCATGAAGGGCATCTTACTCGACAAGAACGAGGGCGAGGTTCTAGGCGGTGGTGAAAACACGGAAACGGCAAGGGACGATACGGATATCTTACAGACGTATTCCAACGCGTCCACTGAGCTACACCGACGTAACTTGGGCTACATGTTGGTGGCCAGCGCAATGGCCAACCTAGCGGATGGGGCCCCACGGTCTCTAACAGTAGACAGCGTGGCAATGCGAGCGAAACGTTACAAGTTCGTTTCCTCCCAACCACACGATGTCGCGGAAGCCATCATGCGCCTAGGCTTCCCGGTATTTCCTCTTGGCCACGCAAACCAAGGAGAAAAACAAGAGAGCCTCCTCGGCTTGCCCGAAGAAGGCACGCAGGAAGCAAATTGCCTTCTCCGTCGGGCACTGTTCGTCCAGACAGGGTCCAGGCGTGGTTTACCATCGGCCATCCAGGCCGGCAAGCGTCCGGAAAGTGGCGAACCGCTACCAGAGCGGTATTTCGTACTTGGCGCGAAGTTCACGGGCTCCATCAGCCAAACGAAGGGAGCCTCATCAGGTTATTACACCCCAACGCGCGACCATACGGAGGCAGTTATTGGCATTTACAGGCCAGCGGACGAAGCAAATTGGCCCAAGTATGCTGGTGTAGACGAGAGAATGTACCGCAAACGGAAAGGGCGAAAAGAGCGCCTACCCGGGAAGACGGGGACCAGCTCAACGACAGCGCAAAAGTCAGCGGAGCGGTTCCAACAACAGGAGCAGACGATTGCACCCCAACAGCAGAAGAGGACACGCAAGACTGTGGAGGAGAGTTCGTTAAGCCAGAGGAAATCTCGGCGTGACGACACACGACAGAACACAACACCAAAGCAATCCCGAAAAGAAAAATTTTTATTTAACATCTAAGCACCCTCCATTTTTATCGTTTTCCTTATTTTTCAGAGGAGGGTGTTTTCCGTTTTTCCTGTTTTTCCATTAAGTTATATTTGGTACACTTTGTAGCCTGAAAGTATAAATGCCATTGGGATACCTTTTTATTGTTGTATTGCCATTAAGGTTTATCGAGTGTCTCTGGCGTGGGGGCTGGGGGCGTTTTTTCCCAAACCCCGAAAGCCGAAGGACAAGCCACAGTAAGCGATAAATATCTTTAGTATTTACCCGTTAATAATGTGTTGATGTACGGTGCCTAATCGGCAAACGTTGTTTCTTAGTTTGACTTGCCTGTTCCACTTGTGCAAACACGTTCTTCCTTTCCTCTTTTTTTCTTCTTCTTAGCAACGCGACATTAGCCGTGCTCACAGTGTGCGAAGAGCAGAAGCGTGTCGTATGAAGAAATTTCTCGAAGAGAGAGAGACTGGATGTACGGTATAAGAGTAAACAGAAACATGTTGGAAGTGACGAAGAGTTGTGTGTATATTGATTTTCCTTCTCGTAATATTTGAATACTGTGAGAACCTACTTGTTTATCTTTTCTCTTTATTGTTCTCTTTTCTTATCATTACATGGGTTGAACACCTCCAGCTTCTCCCAATGGGGGTTTCGACGCGCTCAGAACTGAAAAAAGAGTTTTGAAAAGAAAGTTAAAGTATGACGGAACAACAGGTTTTATCCATCCATGAGATCACGGAAGTAGAGGTTTTATCTATCCGTGAGTTGGCGCAAGAAGGCTTCACGGGTGATCAACTGGAGAGATTCCTCAGAACTCTGCAAAGGGCTGGCGATAGAAACGACACAAAAATGCTTGATCAATTGAGGACGAAAGCATTGGAAGCCTCCTTGGCCCGGGGAGGAGAAAGCACCACATCCGACGACAAGGCCAAGCTGACGGAGAGCACCAAATACCAAGGCGACGTTGATTACCTGAGGCAGCAAAAAGAACACGACTATTTCCCGTGGAAACGAGACTTGGCGTTGGCAGAGATTTTCTGGGGAAAATGTTCCGCCGATGACGACGATAATGAAAAGAGGGAAGCAGCAAAGAAAATATTCATTTCCAAGGCTAAGGGTGGCCGCCTAACCACAACGGAGGTGATGATAGGACAGTATATGTTCTTTGCAGAGGACCCCGCATATGGTTGGAAATGTCTCCAAAGACTCTTGTTCCTGTGCGATACGAAACAGAGAGTCCAATTCCACAACTGGGGACTGTTTGCGACATTGGACCCCTACAAACAGAATATGTATGGAGCACGAGTGGAGAAACTGCAATACCCTCTGTTCCCGGACCACCCGGAATTTAGAAAGTTAAATGCCAAATTACTCCGCCCGACTAAAGGCACCATTCACGGGGGATCATCGGATGAAACGCTGGAACTTGAAAAAATGTACGACATGAATAGGGAAGGACTCATCACCGGTGGTGGATATTCAGATGCCATTTATGATGCTCATGGGCAACAGATTGCCCCTAGGGATATGAGCAACATTCAGCAGCAGTTGGCCAACTTAAGGGCCAAGGTGGAGGACCTACACCGCAAGCTAAGCCACCACACGAACACACCGAATCATTTTCCCAACACGAAACAGAGAGCCACAGGAACAAGACAACGAAAGGGGAATACAGGTACAGGAGGAAGCAAGGGACGCGGATGTACCCTTTGCAACAAACCGACCATATCAGTACAGGGGAGGTGGAGAATATGCGAATCATGAGTTCGACGAATCTCACCCAAAAAACGAACAATCCCCGTCGGAAAGGAAACAACACTAGAACCGACGGGGCGAACAAGGAATTTTTGTGTGGTGCAATTTTGCGGGAGCCCACCACAAAAGTAGTGTTACACGGAGGAAACTTCGCGAGTGGGAAGACGTCCAACATCGAACTGGACGGTATCTTCCAGAGGTATTTACCAAGGAAGCGGGTTTTACCATGCGACACTCTTCCACGTATGACGCCAGCTCGGGCGAAGGAAATCGAGCATCTTTTTAAGGGAAAAGAGAGTGACCACCTCTTCTTTCCAATATTTATCCGCCACCACTGGATTGCGGGAATCTTCAGTGGGGCGAAGGGCGGGAAAAACAAAGTTAGAAATTTACGACTCAGCACCGTCTCCAATGGTGCAACGGGGCCTGGTACACGCCACCCAAGCATGATGGCCACACAGTGACATTACAAGGGAATTGTGTGCGACACGAACGATACAGCGTGGATTGCGGGATCTTTGTTGACGGCAAGTCTCTACGCCACATTCCTACGAGTGCCGATATGGCACCACCACGGCTCCTGCCACAACGGTTACGCCCCTACCTACACGAGGTAGGAGAAAGCACCACGAAATCACCGAAGGATAATTTTCTTACAGCCATGAAGCACATCTTGCTCGACAGAAACACAATGGAAGTGTAAATGGGCGAGCTTCTACACGGTGGTGATAAGGACACGGAAACGGTAACACACGATACGTTCACCCCACAGTCCCAGCTGGCGAACCACAACGAAGGCAGGGCACACCGTTCCGAACGCCGTGCACCCACGAACTCACCAACACCGGTGACACACGAAGAGGCACAGAATGCACACAGGGTACTCGCGGAAGAGTGCCCACACGCAGCCCTATTCATCGTGATGATGTGGTGCAAAACGAGGCGCGGGCGGTAGACATTATTGGGCCCCTCCACACGGAGGATACACGAGTCGAATAGGCTACGAAAGCCATATTTGAGCTTATCACATCTCTTTATGAAAGAGGAATTATGGAGGAAAAACAAACCTCACATCTGCACCATATTATTGCAGAGCAGAAAAATACAACAGGTGATCTATAAATAATAATGATGAGGCGATAAGGAATTAACCTTACATCTGTAACGGTTCAATAAAGAAGGAATAAACGTATTTGCAGCGGAACTAGTTAGCAGCTAAGGCATGATGTTACAAGAATGTTTGAAACACGGCGTCATTTATTGGGACGCAAAAATACTTGGAATTTTATCTCTGTGGAATCTTATAAAAGTTATGAATCTAATGAGAAAATTGTTACGTTCATTGTTGAGGGCACTCTCGCATCTCTCTCTGATCGGTTTAAGGCCATCCTCTGAACCAGAGGTATTTGTAACGTGTATACGCGGTTCACTTTGTGAAGATCAGATTTTACTAATTATTAAACATTTGACCATGAGGTATGGCTAAGGAGCTCAGTTTCGCAGCCCGTAATCGGAAAGGGCCATGCGACCACGCAAGGACGCGACTGTCCTCCAACACTCCTTTTAGCCAGCATCTTCCACATCAGCGACTGTTTCCAGGACGTCACGGCACTCCGGAACAGGATACGCCAGACAATGCGGGGCGACAACCCGCAATCCGCCCTTCCATCATTACGGGAAGGAGCGACACGACACCTGGCCGCACAAAGGATGTCTGAAGAGCACCGCATGACCACGACGTGGCATACCCGCATCGATACATTGCGACGGTATCTGGGTAATCATCTCCAAATGACTCGGGAGGCAGAACACACACGGGACAACGACGTCCGTGCCCTCCTTCGAGCGGAGTTCCCAGGAAACACGGCCCCAAGAACACGTGAACATGGACCCAAGTCTTTATCTTCAAAACATTCGTCTCTCTTTGCAAGTCAACAACGAGACAACAAAACATCAACAGCAGTAACAACGCCAGCATGCAATATACTTCATCGGCCACTCCATTTGAAGGACGCCACCCCCTCCTCAACATCGAGGCCGTCCGAGGATTGCCCACAGCGCATACGGCTGCCAGAGACTTCCTGGAGCGTGCGCTACGTTGTATGGCGGCCAACCTTTTTTCGACGATTTACGCACATCCCGAACCATCAAGAAGACACATCTCACGATGACGGACATACGGAGAGCAGTCGAGATGAGAAGAGGTTCGAACGCGTACCGAACGGATTTGGTCTCCAATATTCTTAACGGGCAACAGCAACACAGCCACCGGTGGATTGCAGGAACCATGCGCCCACCGACGAAAGTGGCATCGGCATAACCGCATAAAAATCATACGACACCCGGCCATCGGGACGACTCTCGCCAATTCCAACAATGGATCAACAATGGCCGTCTCCCAGAAGGTTTTCACGGAGTGTTTCTGTTTGCGGATGCCGGGATGCAAGGACGACAATGCCTCTTTACCAAACGATTGATCCTATTTTACATGGTCGATCTGTGGTTGTCTATGGTATTGGTTCAATGGTACTTTTTTCTTCAGCACGTCTCCCAGAGGGACGAATTGCGTTATCACGGTGGAGGAGTAGTGGATGAGTATCGTGCGAATTAATCGTCAAGTAGTGCGACAGGTACGTGATGTACGAAAGCATTTGCCAAATCAAACAGCAGCGAGCGGAACGAGAATTGCTACTACGTAATTTTCATCATGGTTCACATTGTGAACCTTTACACACTTTATGGTTGTTCTGGAGCTCATACACGAGAAGCCCAGCAGAAAACAACCATCCAATCAGCAACAAGGTTGCTACCACGCGGTAGGGAATCATCCCCACCGGACTCGTCCACAAAGTCAGTCTTACCGCACACCGGTGCGAAGACCAGCGAGACACGATGGATCGAGTCAACCACGACGACGCTGCACAGTTGAGGCAAACACAAATGTTGATGTGGACTTTCATACACTCACGCCCTCACGACTTACAACTCACGACTCATGACTCCACCACCGCCACCATCCTCATCATCGCAGGAGATAATGGGAGGTTTGGTGCCGCCATAATTCACCTGCCCCACACGCTGGGCAGCAGCAGGATTTCCACCATGCTCGCACAAGGTGATTCGCAGGAAATGGGATTAAGAGCACCACCGCCATTGAATCCACCGAATAAATAACAATCGGATATTGAGATGACGGACAGGATGTGGTTTTACAGAACGCATGAAGGCGTGAAAAGAACTTGTTAGATGCCGACACGGTAGCTTCATCGGTGAAGTCCTCTAGACCACCTTATACAATACTCTCTGCGACATCACATGTCCTTGGCATTTCAGAGGAAAACGAAACAGTACTCACGGCCATACGAGTAGTATAAGCTAGAACAGTGAACACAGGACTTCACCAACTACGATCACGGATTCTGCTTCTTCAATGGAAGAAAGGGCAGAAAAAACAAAATATAAAAATGATAGGAAAAAGCAAGTAGTAAATTGCCATCATGGGCCATCTTCTCTGGAGGGGAGAAGTTTGATATCTCTACTGAACGCTTTGGTGGTCCCATTATGGGACACTATCAACAATTAAGCGATGAACGCTTTAGAGTTCTCACATCGTGGGAGGCCCAAGAGAAATGGGCCGTGGGACGTCATTTACCCCAACGGTCCTCTGCAGGATATAAACAGCGGTGGGCAGAATCACAACAACAGGCACGCGACGATGCCGTTGACCACGAGTATGCGCGCAGAGCGCAAGAGAACAGATGGTCGTAATGCAAAACAAATAACCCCGCGACGAGGGAGAAAACAAGAAGAAACAGCAAAACACCATCACCAAGAATAACAACAACAACAACAAAAGAAGATTGACCAACATCAAACAGCGCAGCCTTGTTAAACACATGTTCGTATGGCTTATGTCCACCTACGATCTTTACTGTTACCTCGAGTTCATGATATATCAGGTATAAACAGTCTAACGCTGCTTACTGAGATGGAAGCCTCCGCGACATGAGGCGGGAGATATGGTCATTACAGTAGCCACAAAAAGGCTAACGCAAACTATGGGGTACACGGGTGAACCCCGCCAAGTACTACACACGTACAGCGGACGACTGCCTCGTTTCCGCTCTGGCAAACCCCCGACGGCCCGGTCCGCAAAGGGCAATAGCGAAGCACACGAGGCTCTCGCTGAGGTGGAGATTACTGGGAATAGTAATAAGTAATGCCTTACCCAAGAAGGCATAAGGGCTAAGCGCAAACTATGGGGAAGCGGTTTCCCACACCCCGAAAGCCGAAGGTCAAGCCAGTGGGCTTTCCCAGGAGCGTGGCTCATGGGAACAAGAGTGTCAGAAGAGAATTGTTTTGGTGTTATAGGGTGATGTGAATTTTGAGGATGAAATATGAAACGGTTAAAAGTTATTGTGTTGTGATAT